GCAGGAGGATCGCTGTAAGTTTGACCAGCCTGGGCTACATAGTGAGTTCCAGGTCAGTCTCAACTACATAGTGAGACCCTGTCTCAAAAACAAACAAACAAAAAAATTAATTAGAACCATAATCTCTGCTAATAAAGGAAGAGCTTTGGGGAGTGGTGTGTGTGTGTGTGTGTGTGTGTGTGTGTGTGGGGTGTGTGTGTGTGTGTGGGAGTGGTGTGTGTGTGTGTGTGTGTGTTTTAAGAGCAAACATTGGAGATCTTGAAATGGGGATGTTTGTATTCCTTGCCAAACATGGACAAGGGAACCTCAGGTTTCCTTGAAGTCGTGATGGTCTTTGTTTTCCCTGTGTGGTGTTTTCCCAGGTGACCCTGTGTGGGCGTTAGGAGCAGTGATTATCCCCTGCGCTCTGCTGATGGTGCATCCAGCCCTGGGCCGGCTTGGCTCTGCGGTGCAGGTGTTTGGAAGCAGGCAGTAGTTCTCACAAGGCAGTTGCACATGGTGGAGGGGCAGCAGCCTGGGAGTTGACCCCTGCCCCTTGGGGCCTGTTCCCACAGCATCTCTCTCCTCTTGGGGACCTGACACCACTTCTCTGGCTCTGCTCCCATGTGGACACTGGCAGGAGCTACAAGGCCTCCAGGCGGGTGGCTCCCCACAGCTGGGTCTTCCCAGGGCCCCTGACAGGGGTGAGACTGTGTTGCATCAGCCACCCCGTGTGCAGGCTGCAGTGTGTGAGTGTTCATGTTAATAACCTGATAACCAAGGAAGGAGGTTTGGTGAGGAAGGATGGGGTGTTTGAGTTCTGTGTCCAGAGAACCGGATTTCTCTTCCACCCTCGCCATGCTAGGGCCGGTCTGCTGTGGCTCTTGCTGAGCCCTGTGCCTGATGGTGAGAGGCTGAGTGAGAGAAAGTGAGTTGGTCTGTTTGAGTGAAGCCAGAGGACCTGTCAGCGCCTGGCTTGCACCCTGTCCCCCAGCTACACTCTTGTGTTTTGCAGAAGTGGGAGCAGATAGAGAGCAACTCCAAGCTGAGGCATGTGGGCAGCAGCCTCTGCCTGGACAGCCGGACGGCCAAGAGCGGGGGCCTGAGTGTGGAGGTTTGCGGCCCAGCCCTCTCGCAGCAGTGGAAGTTCTCGCTCAATCTGCAGCAGTAGCAGCCCAGCCCAGAGCCCACGCCTACAGCCGAACCACTGGCCAAGCTGGTAATCACATTATCGATTATGTTTCTTAAACTTTCCGCGAAACTATATACCTCAGTATTCCATCATGGTCTGAAGCCGGAGAGCTCCAGCGAGGCGCAGCTGTGCTGACAGACTCAACGGCGGCCAGGAGTCCGCCCCTCTGCTGGGGCCCAGCTGGCCCCTCCTGTGGCCGCCCTCCTCCTTCTCCTCTTGCTCAGTAGCCAGGAGCCACCTGGCTGAGGCACACAGTGGAGGAGCAGCTCTGTGTGTGTGATGGCAGAGGGAGGAGAACTCTTACAACGACCATTTTGATCCCATCAGAATCACATGTGGGTCCCACGGTTACGGCTCACATCATTGCAGGTTCCCTGTCACCCCTTCTTGAGCCTCCAGGCCCAGCGCCCTTCTCCCACTGATGTGCTTGCTGTATTTGAACGTGACTTTTCTATGGTGGGACACTAAATATAAATACATATACAGAGAGGATGTACGGTCAGTTCCCCAGGTCTCTAGGTCGATTCTCACAGGCTCCTCACAGCACAGCGCATGGCAGGGTGGAGGGGCCACTTCTCCTTGGTCCCCAGGAGCCTCATAGCCAGGAGGTGCCACTGTGGCCAGCGGGGGCTTCCCAGCACCCCATCCCCAGCCCATGGGCATCTCTGTGTGGCCTCCACGTGGGAATCGCTGCTGTGTGTTGGAAAATCCACTTTTGTGTCTTGGTATCCATAAACCCACATAGGTTATTTACTTTGGCAAGTGTTGCTTTGGTTTTTGGGTTTTTTTTTAATTAATTTTTTTTTCCTTTAGGGGAGAAAAACCCCATCCCCACAGCTCCTAATGTGAGTTGGCAGTATTCCCCCTGGCCTATGACAGGGCAGACTAGTGACCCTAGATAGTTGTCACATGCTAACACTGGGCTTCATGGGAGAGTGAGACCTTACATACTAGGCCTTCAGAACTGATGCCTGCAGCTGTAGCATGCTGGCCATGAATGCCCGACCTGCAGGCGGCCTGGCTCCTAGCCTGCATGGTTGGTGTCCTGTTGCCCGGCACCCCTGCACGTGGCTGCTTGGGGACTTTGGGTAGAGTTGGGAGGAGTCAGAGCCACACAGGCCCATGCCCATACAGTGAGGACTTGGGCATGAGACAGCAGCCTGCATCCTGTGTGAACCATGGGTAGAGAGGGCCTGGCTCCGGCCTGGGCACCAGCCTCATGGACAGCAGTGTCCCCACAGAACTCCCTTGACTTTTTGGTGTCCCTGTCATGGCACAGCCCCAGCCCCACTGCTCCCATGGTCCCTGCCCTGCCACCTCCCTCACATGCAGATTTCCAGGCTCAGGCTGGTTGGGCTCAAGGTGCCTTTGAGGGCTGTGGAGGCTGTGGAGGTACAGGTTGCCAGGAGTCGCTGATCTACGCTCTCCTTCCTGGTCTCCCCCCACTGCCAGTCCACATGTGAACAGCTGACCATGGCCCTAGTGGAGGCCTGGCCAGGTGGCTGCCCTGTGTCTCACTTGCTACCCTGCCGAGCAGCCTGATGCATCTTAGAGACAGGTGACCACATGCCAGGTTAACACCACGTACTGCCGTCTTCCAGGGTGGCTCCAAGGGTGATCACTCTTGGGTGCAGGTGGAGCCTCAGGGCCATGGAGCAGGGGAGGGTGGAGTCTGCGGCTCACCCTAGCACTTGGGCTCTGGTCTCACCCCGTCACCTTTGAGCTGCTTTGTCAGACAAAACCCACGGGAGGCAGATGGCGTTGGTTCCTGAAGGAGCATGTCGAGGGCACCTGGGCCTGTAGCTCTCACCTGTGCACCTGCTGTGTTGTCCGGCCACTTGGGGGTACTGTGTGGGTGGCTTACAGCCGAGGCCTCTGGGCCGGTCCTCAAGGTGGGCCCCGTTTACAGGACACAGCGTGCCAAAGTGACTTACTGTGCTCATGTTATTTTTGTAGTCCTCGGGACTGTCCCACCCTCCCACTCCTGTTTTTAAAACAAACTTCCCAAGAGCTGTCCGAGCACACAGGCAGAGATGTCGTCTTCTCTGTGGTCCTTGTGTCTCCTTAAAAGCTGAAATGATGGTATCTGTGGGTGTGTTTTGCAAATTTAAAATATAGTTTGGTAATTTTTTTCCAGTTGATTTTTAAAAAGAACTGCTGTACAGAGCTTGTACTTTGTCCATTTTATAGATGGAAACCATCCTTGAAATTGTTTAACTTAAATAAAGAAAAGATGCTTTATAGATAGTGCTGTCTGGTTGTAGCTGCAGTCACTGGGTCTTTCTATGGTGAGAGGCTGGGTCTGAGTGCAGGGGTCACAGCCTATCCTCTGGGGCCTGCGCAGTTACTGTTTCTCCTCATGTTGTAAAGATGTATTCGCCTGTTACCGCCAGCACATCTGTTGTTTGTCTCTATCTGTAATGATCCTTACTGTCTATGAAGTGGCCATGATGTTCTGGGAACCCAGCCAAGCCCTTGGATGCATTCACATTTTACAGCTGCTGGGGAAGCTGGTGACAGGAGTGGCACCTGCATAGGTCACACAGTTCTACAGCCACCTGCGTTAGGCCTGAGACACTGAGGAGCCAGTATGTTTGCATGTTGGTGTTGGGGACACACCTGTCACTCACCAGGTATCTGGGGCTTGCCGGCTCCCCCAGGGTGAGCTGAGGCTCACAAGCAGCTCCAGTGTGGATGTGCTGAGACGCAGCCCTGGCCAGTTGGTCCGCAGTCTGGGTGGAGATGAGGCCTCGCAGGGTGGGAAGGAGCTGTATTCAGGGCTAGGAAGAGCAGATTAGTGCCTAGCACACTGTGCCACATGGGCAAATGGAAAGCACGAGGGGTAGGGTGTGACAGGAGGTCTCCCTGTGATGCTTGCTGACACTGGCCAGTCCTGTACAAGCCTACCTCCAACCCTCACAGACTACAAAGATGGGACTCCCATTTCATTGCTGGGGAAACTGGGCTCTGGTGAGCTGAGCCGATTGCCCAGTTCACTCACAAACATCGAGGCTGCCCCAATCCTACTATCCCCGTCCTGGTGCCTGGGAGGGCCACTGCAGTGCTGTGGGGGACAAGTGACAGGAAGGAAGCAGGCCCTGGAGTGGTGAGGACAGGGCCTTGCCACTAACACATGGAGGGGAGGAGGGGCCGGAGGATGCCACACGGCAGGCGAGGCTTCCACTGTGGGTCCTGCCATTCATGCCCCGCCTTGCCTTAGGACAGGGACCGAGCCTGCCTGTGACAGGGCCTTCTGCTACCTCGTCGGTGCCACTGTCTCAAGTGGAGTGAGAAGAGCAGATCTCTACCTGGGCCACCCAGACCGCTGCCACCCAGAGCCTCCCAGGCTTTCCCCTAAAGACCCACGGGACAGCTGTGGGCTCTCCCAGGGGAGAGAATGGACCTGGGACCTGGACAGGGTACTGCTGAAGCGCTGAGTCCCCCGTGAGCACAGGAAGGTGCAGTGAGGGGCAGGGTGGGAGGAGCCCGTCCTTGCGGCTTGCCTTGCACTCTTTGCTCCTGGACTGGATTGTGAGGTGGGGTGGGAACCGGCCAGGTGTGAAGACTGGTCACTGCAGAGACAGGAGCTGATCCCAGCGGGCAGAGTCAGCCGGAGCCGGTGCCAGATAGGCCAGGCTGCCCCGCTGCAGCGGAGGAAGGTCACTAGGGAGATGCAAGCTAGAGGCTGAAGACAGACTCAGGGGGAACCCGTGCTGCAGCAGGTGAGCTGGGTGGGACCTGAGAGGGTCCTGGTGGATGGGCAGCCCCTCCCTTCTCACTGCCACCCCAAGTGGGGTTTGGTGGCTGTTGTCATTCTGGTGTCCCATGCTCAAGGAGCCAACAGCTGAGCAAGAGTGGAGGTGGGCTCTGGCCAGGGCTTCACGGGCCTGGACAGTGATGGCCACCCCAGCCACCGTCCAGTCTGTGTCCACAGTGGCACATTTGTCACCTGACTGTGGAACACAGTCATCCAGAACTGTATTCCAAGTGTGCTCAGAGCATGCCCACTCGGCGCTTCTGCCTTCATTTGTTGGATGACAGCTTTGCCTGTGTCACTGTGGTTAGCACAGCCATCTGAGCCCACTTCTGGGACTTAGGTTATTGCCCTCTGCATCACTCTTACATTATTCAGAGCTTGGGAGTTAAAAGGTGCAACACCCGAAGTCCACACCCAGTCTTACAGCTGAGCCTTGCTGGGCTCACATAGCCCCCCAACGCCCGCCCGCCCAGCGTTCCTCCAATATCAGCCCTGCAGAACCCTGGCTCAGGTGCTGGGTGGGGCCTAGGGTCCTTGTTTCTGGGGCTCCCAGGGATACTGCTGTTGCTGCTGCAGGTCTGAGCTGTTCTTGTAAAGGCCAGGGGCTTAACTCCCTGTGCTGGATGAACACCTGTGTGAAGCACCAAGGTCCCCACCCCTCTTGGTGTCTGGTCAGCGCTGACTTCATGTGGGACCGGAGCAGCAGCAGGTGTGATGCCCAGACCAGAGTGGCTTGCCTGTGCGCTGTGGTCTAGGGCCATGGGCCATTTGACCATCGTGTCCTGGGCTGTTTCTCTTCTGGTAAGTGGGTAGGTGGTGGTCACAAGGTTAGAGAACAGAGCGTCCTGTCCTGGGGGCTGCTGTCTCCTTGGGAGGCGGTTTTGCAGAGAGGCATGTCCCCTGCTGTCCCTTGTATTGCTAAGTGCACGGCCTCCATTCCTGCCCTTGGTACTCCACTTGGTGAAGAAGAGGGACCTTTCTAGTGGTACCACATCCTTCCCCTGCCAGGGACGGTGGGTCTCCTGCTGAGACTGCCCTGAGAGAGGGCCTTAGGTCTGGGCTGGCAGAGCATGAAGGCTCTTCTTTGTCAGAAGCCTCTTCAAATGGCAGTTTGGGGAAAGAGCTGGTCAAGCTGTACTGTGGGTCTCTATTCCTGGCCTGAATTTCATTAGTCACTTCTCTCTCTGAAGACTCAGACATTTTCATCCCAAACCTGCTTCTTTTATTGTAGCCAGATGCGCCCAGCAGGCAGAAAATGCAGTTGGGAGGAACGTCCCGATGCTGTGGAGTGCCGTGGAACAGGTGTCTGTGGGTCACACTGAAGTGAGGACAGGGTGGCAAGGTTCGTGGACAGACTGCATTTTGACAGCCTTGGGCCCATGCCAACTGCCACCCAGAGGTGTTGCTGGGTGATTCAGAGAATTTGAAAAGCCTCCTCTTACGCTGTCCCCCACCCCACTGTCCCAGCACGCCCCTCCTCTGGGCCATTAGTCACCTGTGCCTGGATGGATGCTAAAAGGTGTCACCCAGACGAACAACCACAGCACTCTTTAGCTTGACTCCTCCTGAGCTGTCCTTATAACCATGTGATAGTTCAAAGATAGCACAGTGCACAGGGACCTGTGGCTCCCAACTGGCCTGAGGTCTTTCTGCTATGTTCCTTGTCTTCAAGAACAGAAATAATCCCACTCCCCACAAGCTCACAAATGACCCTCCTAAGGTACTTGGCACAAGGCACTTTCTTGGAAGATTCCCAGGACCCATCAGTTAAACCAGGCACATGGCGGTGCCCAGGACAGATTGGAAAGGAGGTTCAGTGACTAGGGGACTCCCAGAAGAGGGCAGCAGTGAGCAGCTCCAACTGTAGAGAAGCACGGGGCTACCCAGGAGAATGTTGAGGACAGACTCCAGCGCGTTGGCTTCCTCTGCTGGGGACCTGGATTTGCTCCTTGTCCCAGAGGCACCCGAGTCCAAGTAGGGGTTTACAACTGGGTGGGGGAAAACACATTGCCTCTGCTAACCTACAGGGCCTGTGCTGGCTTCTTCAACGCATGTGTGTGGGGAGGCTGTTCCAATGTGCCATTGTGGGAAAGGCCAGGAGAGAGGCCACTTTAAAAAGCCAGCTCTGGAGGGGGAGGTTGACGCAGCACTACTCAGAGGTGGTGGTCTGACAGGTGTGGATGTGCCTGAGCTGTCCCTCTTCTGTTGAGTGACCAGGCGACACCCCTGGGCGTTTGGTTGCACAAATGCTCTTACTGTGGACCTGAGGCTCCCATGCTGTACTCTTCTGCCCTCTGCTGGACATTCTGGGGGCAGCTTCGTCTCCTTGAAGGGGACTGAGTCCAAGAAGATGAGCAAGGGCAGTTTATGACACCGTGAGCGACTGGCAGTCAGTGGAGCAGTACAAGCATCTCATGTTTGGGAAATGACTGGCTCGAGGTAAGACTGGATTGTTACGTATTTTTTTATTCTAACACTGTAGAGATGAAAGACACCTACACTGTCCTGTCTCCCGCCCTGCAGTCCCCACGCCAGGGAAGCTGTCCTAGGTGCTTGAATGCTCCTCTCGGTTGTCTCCACGAACACACTCACTCTCGCAGGCCCGGCCTCGGTCCAGGGTTGGGGTCCCCTCCGCCAGGTCTCTAGTCATTCTGCCTCGCTGGATAGGATGTGGACTAAAGGGCTGCTGCTAGGGCTGGGCTGCTGGTGACCCAAGGACAGGTCTCACTCGTCTCTGCTGGTGCCCAGGATGGGACAAGGGCAGGAAGGACTGAGGGGGTGCAAAGGCATAGCACAGACAGCCTGGGTCATTCGCCTCCGGCCTCCTGGGTCCAGGCACGGTCCTCTAAGCAGCAGCCTTGGTGGGGGTGCAGATAGGTCCTCTCGCCCTGGAGTTTCTGGGCAGACTCCGCTTCCTCCCAAAGGAGGAAACAATCCTACATGTTTTCAGATTCGCACCCACACGGTCTGAGGTCCAAGCAGAATTCCCTGATTCCTGTAAGATACTCTGCCTCCTCTGCCCCCAGCAGGATGTGGTCTGGTCGGTACCCAAGTGTGATTCTTACTATTACTGCCCTGGCCAAAAAGAAAGTTTGTCTCTCCATGGCTCAGCAGTCCTTGCTTACCCACCACCTTGGGGCTTAGTATCCCCTCAGAAAAGCTCAGAAATGGCTTTTTTTTCAAATTGTTTATTGGTGCATGTTAGGTGTACACTGTGATCACATTCATCATTGGGAATCTGTACCTGTTCATGATGTATCCTAGTTGAGGAAAGGCTTTTTAAATGACTTTGATCTGCTTGCCCTGTGCTGTCCTCTTCAGACAAGAACACAGCTTGATTTTGAGGATCCCTGGGGGCCCCTGCTGTGGCCTGGGTACCTGTATCCTCCACGGACTTGTTTGCTAAAGATGAATCCCCATTGTGAGACATTGAGAAGAAAAATTTAATACAGTATAGTGTTTAGAGCCGGAGCCTTGGGGAGGTGGTTGGGGTTGGGTGGAGTCCCAGTGATGAGAGCAACTAGAAGGCACACACACAGATACGCATGCTGTCTCTTTCTCTGTGACACCCTGAACTGCCTCAGGGCACAGCCAGCAAGACTGTTGCCAGATGAGGCCCTGACCTCGGACCTCCAGTACTAGGAGCCAGAACCTCTTTTCTTTATAAAGGTGCTTAGCCTCAGGGATGTTATTCTAGTGACCAAGGGCGGACTAATACAGCACCCAGAAGCCCACACTGCTGGGAGGTAGGATCAGAATTCAGTAAATACAGTGTCCATAAACTAGACCAGTCATGCTGTTTATAGATTGTCTCTTATCTGCTCCTTGTCAGAGTCTGTCCTCTCTCTGCCTTCAGGAAGTCTTTCATACAAAAGCCCATTCCCACCCTGCTGCTGTGGAGGGGACAGTTCCTGAGGCTTGAGGACCTGAAGTCAGGTGACAGCTGCTATGGTATCCACAGAGGGGCAGGTGAGGACCAGACCAGTGCTGCACCCTAGGGAGGGCCAAGGGACCCTGATGTTCCTGGGCCACCAAGGCACTGGGGCAAGGGGGTGGCGTGTAGACCTCTGCAGAGAGTAGCCAGAGGCAGAGACATAGAAGGTGGGATCGAGAGAAACTCGCTTTATTAAAAAGCATTATATCCGGGATAAATTTAAAAGTAAACTCTGTACTTCCTGAAAGATCTGGAGAGCGAAAGTTTGTAATCACCGAGAATTTATGGTGTATTTGAAAATTACCTTAGGCTTATAGAAAAACTTAAAGCATCGACATCATGTGTTATGAAAAATAGTTTATATCCTATTAACTTGAAAGGCTTTTGAAATGCTTCTCAAAATCTTTTTGTTTTCCTGTAAAGAAGTATACAAAACAGGGGACAGCCAAGCAGCTGGGGCTTCTCTGGCTTCTGACACCATATCATCCCGGCTCCAGAATCTGGGAAGTAGGAGGGTGGTGCAGGGCAGCTGTGGGCAGCAGTCAAGGGAGCATCAGGCAGCAGAAAAAGCCTCAGAGCAGAGGGAGCCAGCAGGGCAGGGACCAGAGGCAGGGCTGACACCTCCAGCACCAGCCTATGTCTGGCCCCAGGGCCCTGGGTGGCTTCCGTGACCTCCACCATTGCTCCTGGGCTGCAGGCCCTGGTGCTCTGGTGAGTAGGCTTTCTCATGCCTTCCCGTCCCACGGAGGAACACTGCAGGCCAGGATGATATATCTGCCTCCATTTCAATAGCTTTATGGAAGAAATAACCACAAGGTACCTGAATTAAATTGTAATTTGTATATGGGGGGAGGGCACACTTCAGTGTAGAACCCAGAATTTAACTTATGGCATACAAACTTGTAAAAACTTAGTGTAAAACCCACCATTACAGAAGGGGATGGCATCACCCGAGGGCTGGCTACCTGTGCAGTTTCCTGATGGGATTACCCACCCTCCAGTTGCTTAACTAAAAACTGGGAGGAAACTGAGGAAAAGATAATGAAGTATTGGTGAAAATGGAAATCTCCTTCTGGAGTCACTGACCACTGTTTCCTCATCATCACCAATGGCCGCTCCTCTAGAGAATGGAGCTCCCTCACCTCAGAGGAGGGGCCGGATGGGTCTTTTATGGACCCAGAGGCCATCTAGCGCTTGGCAGTCTCCTTCCTAGGGTCAGGCCCAACCCAGTGCGTCGCCCAAGTGCATAGCCTGCAGTCGTGGCCACCTCGCCCCAGCCCTTGATGCTGGATACTGCTCCCCTCAGGTTTGGCCTGGAAGCCCCTCAGACCTGCCTGCATCCAAGAGACCAGGAAAGACAGAGGCAAGTAGCCAGTCCCCTTGGGTCAGACCTCACCCACTTTGTCACCTCAGTCTTTCCATCAGCACCCCTTCATGTGGTTTCTGTGAGGGCCCTATTCTTGCCTTCCTGGACCCCTTAACTGGCCCCTATCTTGTCACAGGATGAACCAGGCCTGCACAGGAGGCCAGACTGCTGGGACCCACAGCACCTGGACCGCAGCAAGTGGATGCTGTGCTGTGGGTGAGGAACTCAAAAGCAACTATGTTGAGAGGGGTTGAGTGACGAAAACACCCTCCACCACAATCCTGTGACCCAGAGCTGGGGCTCACACTTTACAGTGCCTGTGGTGGTTCTGGGTACACCTCCCACCCAGTGAGACAGGACACCCCCTGCCCTACTCATGCCATGTCCCTCCTCACCCGACTGCAAGCCCTCAAGGGCAATGGAGATGAGGTTTCTAAAGAGAGCCAGTGTAGCTGGGTGTGGTGGTGCATGCCCATGATCCCAGCACTCAGGAGGCTGAGGCAGGCAGATCCTTGTGAGTCGAAGACCAGGGTAAACTAAACAGCAAGACCTTGTCTCAAAATACAAAACAAAATAAAATAGAGCAAATCTAGGGGGAAAAGTGATTAGAGAGCTGAAGTCTCACTGCCTAATTACTAAATGTTGACCATTCTGTATATATTCAGAAGTGGAAAGTGAGACACAGAAGGATGGACAGGGCAGGACAGACCACCCCCAGGAAAGGCCTCTGGGCGGGGGCTACAAGACACCCCTTGCCCCACTCACTCCAAATATTGCTCACAGCAGGTGAGGCTCCCTCCATTTCTATTTTCATCTCCAAATCCATATACAATGAGCAAATTTCCAAATACCTATAGATTAAAAAAAAAAGTAAAGTTTTACCTGTTGGGAAGTAGCCAGTGAAGATGAGATTGTACAGCCAAACACTTTGGAGCAGTCTCCTGTTTACAGTGAGTCAGTGACATGGTAATTAAGACTGGGTTTGCCAAGTGTCACTCGCAGGAGACCACTAGGTATGAGCAAGGGACTTACTATTATAAAGTAAGTCACCTGCTTACTTTCTTGTATTTAGAGCTGGGCATCATGGTCCTGCGCTAGTGTCTAACTCAGAAGGTGGATCTAGTCCCAGAAAATGGGCTCCAGGGTGGCTGGTCCTCCTCCTTTCTCCAGCCTTGTCCTTAGCTTCTTCCCACCTCAGTAACAGCAGTGGCATCTCTGGGCAGAGGTCTTTCCACAGCGGGCAGCGGGGTACTTTCCAGGTAACTTTACCAGGCTTCTTTGGTTCTCTAACCACACCAGGCCCAGCTTGCTAAGCTGAGATGGGAGGAGCCCACACAGGGGGTAGAGTTCCAACCTGGAGCTGGTGCACGGGTTGAGGCACCCAGAGGCTGTGTGGCACTGAGCAGAGGGTTGCTTGGCCCGGACCTCCGGTCACTGCTGGACTCCTTAGTGCCACAAGGTGCAGCTGGGGGCTCACCCCTGTCCTAAATTTATCTGAGCCAGAAAGACACACCCTCCTGTGGAGAACTAGAAAAGCACCCAAAGGACCTGGAACTCTCAATGACTGACTATAGTTTGGTTCCTTCCTATGAGGCTGTGGAAAGGTGCATTATGCAGGCACTGAGGTACACTGTGCAAAAAAGTGACTGCCGTGGGTGGACGCAGGCTCATGCAGGCAAACTGGGTGCCACAGGCCTCCCCCTGCTCACAGGAAGAGAGCACGGCCCGCTGAGGCCCTCTGAGCTACACAGCGCACCCTGACCATCAGCCTTTCGGACACTGCTCTGACCAGTGGACTTGACATGTAAGTGGGGGTGAGCCCGACACACAGGGTCCTGCGTTAGGCCCTGTCCTACGGCCTCAGTATTCTGCCTCCTGCACACTCTAAAGTTAATACAACTTTGGTGGCCAGGCCTTACCTGATTCACTCAGACTTTCCCACAACTCACCTGGGTTTTGAAAGATGGGTCACGGACCACTAGAAGATGCTGTTCAAAAGAGGCTCTGTGAGGAGCAAGTGTGTGGGGAGCGTGGAACCGGTAAGGAAAACGTGTCAACTGGAATTCACCTAAATCCCCCCGAATCCCACACACCACTGCAGTTTCCCTGGAGGAGCCTAGAAGCTTTCGTTTTTGTCTGGCGTGAGGGCCAGGAATCTCACAGTTCTTTCTTTTCTAGACCTCATAGCAGAATGAGTCTGGCACAGTGATGGGCCCACGCAGAGAGGAGTCACTGGCCACAGGGTACAGAGGTGCTGGCTTGTCTCACAGAGTCACTTATACAGCTATATGGTCTTGGTCCCAAAGGTCTCCCAAAGCCCCTTTGCTAAAGACTTGCTGCCCAGTTCACAGCACAACAGGCAGGCAGTGGGTCCCCGTGAGGAGTTGGGTTACTGAGTATGTCCCCTTACAGGGGACACGGGGACATGCCCACCCTCTTCTGCTTTCCAGCCACCACGAATGTTCTGCCTCACCACAGCCCAAAGCAAAGGGTCAAGCAACCAGGGGTCAGAACTTGAGACCATGAGCTGTGATAAACTTTTCTTTCTCTTCAGTTGATTGTGTCAGGTGTTCTGTCCCAGCAACAGAAAGCTGACTCACCAAGACCTTTCCTGGTCACCAGAGATGGCCAGTGTCCACCTCAGGGCCAGGAGATACTGGGGCGGCTTGATAGCAGGTCCTAAGTTAGGTCCCGAGGGTTGTCCAAGTCAGTATCACACACCATTTTGTCCTAGAAGGAAAAAGAAACTTTTCCCCTGCACACACCTCACGATGATAGGAGTCCTCTCAGCTTCCCCTCATCAACAGGGAATAGGGCCACAGAGCCGGAGGTGGCACTACTCTCTGTGACTCATCCCCAGCTGCCCGGGAGTGCAATGCCCCTCCTGCCAACTTGAAGACACACAACACACGGAGGACAGCTGACAGTGTGGGGTAAGGCAGGCCTGGAGGTTCCTCAGCTGATGGGTACCTAAATGCCTACTGTCCCCTCATGCAGGGGCATGCTTGCCTACCCCCACGGGCACCTGACAGGGTGGTACCAGCCCTGTATGTACATATCTCGGATAAAGTGTAACTTAGGAATTAGACACAGTAAAGGGTAAATAACGAAACAGGATGATTGTAACTATACTATAATAAAAGCTGTTTAAAACTTAGGATTTATTTCTGGAATTTTCTATGCATTAATTTTGGATTGCAGCTGATCTCAGATAACTGGGACTAAGTATGAGGCTGTAGCCAAAATGACCACCATTACTAACTGTGTTGCTCTGAGTCACCACTTAGCTGGACTCATCTCATACCCTGCCCAGGGGTCCACAGTACCCAGAACATAGGCTCACCCACCAGACTGTCCAGAACCGCAGCTTGTTTTTGTCCCTGGCCTTTCAAATAAATCTATATACTAACAAAGAATCGACATCTAAATAGACTTTTATTTTTATTTTACTTATTTGGACAGAACAGAAAAATTTTCAGCTTTAGTCTCCCTAAGTATTGGAAACACATGAACTCAGAAATAGTGGACCTTGTAGAAAAGCATCACAAATTAAAAATATATTTCTCCATGTGGTAAAAGTGCTTTCAATCCAATTAAAGGGCACGGCAAGGGTGTTCTGAAACACAATCTAAAATTTGGCCTACGATCCGTGGCATCGAGTTCAAACCACAGGGTTGGGGCAGTCACCATGACCAGGGTGGGGAGTGATGTGGGCTGGGAGCATGCTGCCAGCAGCCCCCGGGGAGCCGCGCGTGGACGAGGAGGAACGTCCCAAGCCTGAGTAGAAGAGATTCTGCGTTGTAGAAACGAGGTGGTTACGTAAACAGGGTCAGAGGGGATCAGATCACTCAAGAAGCCCCTTGCTCTTGCAGTGAGATAGTCAGGCCCCTCAGCCACCTGCAGGGGTGCTGGGAAGAGCTCAGGTCTTGGGAGATCCCCTCACCCACCCTGGGGTCAAATCACACCCAACCCAGGAAGGACCACAGCCCCAAGCTGGGGCTCTCCAAGGCCAGCTGCACTCTCAGAGCAGCAGATGCTGCGGGGGTCACTGCATGGACGGGACTATTAGCAGAGGGTCCTCCAGAGAGAGCCGTATGTTTCAGCAATGCTACATAGTTTTCAAAACAAGCAACTCTGCCAACAATGACATCTGTGATGAAGATCATGGCCTGCAACCTGGTGTCCTGGGAGCCAGCAGCCCGTATTTTCTGCCACAGGCACAGACACCAACTGTGGTCATGCAAGGGACAGTGAGGGGTGCAGGCAGGAAAGGGGTCACCTCCCCGTTACAGTAGACCTTAAGCGACAGTAAGAAAATAACCTGAAGATATATTTAAAAATAAAAAAACACCATCAGCCTTTGCTGCAATCCCAGCTCTTACCACCACCCCCGCCACCCTCACAGAGGACAGGAGTGGACGCTTGCCATCCCATCTCTGTGTTTTAATGGCACCGGTTGTGTTTCTTCCGAGATACTGCTAAGCTGCTGGCAGGAGGCAAGTGCTGAAAAACTCCCTCCTCCCCCACACGCCTGCACCGTTCCTGTGTGTCCCCAGCTCTGTGCACTCCCGAGTGACCTTGGATGTGTCAGCCCCTGCCAGGCAGGTGATCTCAGCATGCCAGGCTTGTCCTGTCGCTGATGCCTTCTGAGGCCATAGCCTTCCTTCGGGTCACCTGCACACTGCTCCACAGGCTTTGTGGGTGTCTGAAGACGGACAGGGCACTTGCGAAGGACACGCTCCTCACACGGGGTCTCTGGTGGCAGGCGACAGTGACGGTGGGCTCCCTCCTCCTCCTCCTGCCACACCTGGGCCGGCCTGGCCTCAGGGGGCTGGGGACACATCCTCTAGGCCCAGCAGCTCCCTGACGAGTCTCTCCCCGAACTGCGCCCGGCTGTACCTGCTCACATGGTAGGCATCCGACATCTTGTAGAGGATGTAGGCGTTATTGACAGCGATGCTGATGGCAAACCAGAACACCTGCTGCCAGGTCTTGTTGGGTTTGTGAGAGATGAAGTACCTGTGAGAAGGGTGGGGACGGTGAGCCACGGGGTGCACCTGGGGGAGCGAGGCCCGGGACGTGGCCGTCCGTGACTGTCACAGGGACTGTCACAGGCTCTCCTGGAGGTGGGAGGGATTGGGACAGGCTGGGGCTGTCACAGTGAATTCTACTAAGACAAAGACAGGAAAATGACAGCTCTCGAGAAATCAGAAGAGACCAGGGTCACCACAGAGCCGGACAGTGGTGCGAGTGTCCCAGGGTAGCTCAGAGCAGTCAGCCCTGCAGCCCCAAGCTTCCCAATCCATGGTCACTTCCCCATCGGGTGGCTCGGCCCTCCAGGTCGCTGCTCCCCAAGTGCACCCTGACTGCCCATCTGCTCCAGACCTTCCCGGAACTGTGCACTCACTGGGTTCATCCATCTCACCCACCTCACGTTCACTCATCTCTGTGCCCACTATGCAGGGTCCTCGTTCCCCACCACACCCAGCACAGGGCAGGCACCACAGCGTATCCTGAGTAAAGACCAGTTTCTCTGTGATGACCTGTGGCAACAGCCGGGCCAGGCACGGAGCCCCTGGCTGATGTCCCCAGGCTCTGAGCTCCCTCTGCAGACAGGTGAAGATGCGCAGAGAGGACCAGGCCTGCGCTTCTCCCTCCGCACCGGGAAAAGGGTGGGAGATGTGGGTACCCCTCAAAGGGCCGGCAGACACGCAGGCTTGACTACAGCCATCTCCTGGGTTCTAGGCACACTGTGGGGACACTCCGGGCAGCACGCCACATGCACTGAGTGTGTCCTGCGTCTACACACTGCTGATGTCCTCCGCACAGCCCACATCAGGTCTCAGGCACCTGTACTTGAATATAGGACTCACAGAAAAGGCCCTGGGTTGGTGCCTCAGGTAGCTGTGGGTATGCAGGCAGGGGGCCATGACTGCACAGAGGGGGACACGGGCTTCATAGAGGTGAGCGGTGCAGGCCGAGCTTGAGGCTCTGAGCCTCAGCTCCTACAGCTCAGTCGGAAGGAGCCAATGACTCCAATGCCCTGCTGTGATGGCACCGCCCTCATGGGAACAGCTGCGCACTTACTTGCTGTACTTGTCATCGTATCTGCAGATGTAGCTGAGGTGGGCAGCAAAGGCCTCTACGGCCAGGGGACAGGGGATCTCTCCGCTTCTCCTCTTAATGATGACACCTGCGGGAAGACAGCGCTCAGTCCTGCCTGCCTGCTCCCAAGCCACCTGCAAAGGGGACTGCAGCCCCTCACGGTGATGAGAGGGGTGAAGAGCAGTCCGCACCCAGATCTCCAGAAGGCAAGGAGAGGCAAGGGTGAGGTGAGCACCACGCAGCCACTGTGGCGGCCCAGTGCCTTGTGTCGTGGGTGTCATGGATGCGGGGCCGATGACAGACTCAAAGGCAGCTCCATGTGGCCCGGGTAGGGAGCTACCTGACCAGGCCTGGAAGGGCAGAAGGGGGACCCGGGACATTGCTATCCAGCTAAGCAGAGAAGGAAGAGGATGGAGGCCACACCCAGGTGGGGTCAGGAGGACGGGAGCCGCCTCTGCCCACTTCCCCCACAGCTGGGATCCCAGCTCTGAAGAGCAGGGGTCCCGCCTACTTACGATATCAGACTCCTGGGCCCTGCACATAGGGACGGAGGGACCCCCTTGTGCCCATGCACTGCTCACGCAGGGCTTCAGCCCCTGCCGCGTGCTTTCCCTCTGGGTGAGCACAAGCTCCACCAGGAGAGCCTGAGAGCTACAGGGACCAACTGCCCTCCTTGCTGTGCCACCCGCGCTGCTGCTGGGCAGCCCTGTCCCCGAGTTCACAGGCCACACAGCCACGTGTGTGTGATGCCTTCTCACCTTCCTGCATGTGCCAGTTTTTCATATATTCCAAGGACTTAATTCCCAGAATTATGAAAGTGGACAAGGTCAAACTAAAAAGGCCCTCAATTGAAGACCCCTCTTGGCCCTCAAGTGTCACAAAGGACAAAGTGGGACAGACCTGCATGGGCAGCTGAACTGGGACCTTTTTCCCTAGAGGCAGTGGCTCTTCATGAGGGGATCCGCACCAATGGGAAAGATGGGGCTGCACAGTGTCCCCACAGCTCTTGAGAACCTAGGATTGAGGCCATACTCTTAAGTAAAATAAATAGGACACACATCAGTAAATATCAAATAGTTTCTCTGGTGTGAAAAACAAAGTGTAAATGAGGTTCAAATGTTATAGTCAGGAGCGTGAAATAGGAAGACAGTGGCTAAAGGAGAAATGAGATGGGGAGGGGAAAGGAGAAAAAACGGAAGCAAAGTCTTTGTAAACAGGGAAGGGGGAAGGGGGCAAAGGGAGGGCAGGGGTGTGGGGAAAGAACAAGGACCAAGATACATCACGTAAAGGTACAGGATCCCGATGATGACTGTAACTGCACTGTTTGCTTTAAATGGACCCATAAACTTAAGGGGGACAAGAAGAACCGAGGTCCTCCCAGCTGGAAGTCCTGTCCCCAGCCGGGCTCAGGCTCCGAGTGTGTCCGTAGACCCCCCTGCCACCACTGTGCAAGTCTAAGCAACCGAGTGAGGACGCCGTATGGCCTGCGGACACGTCTGGCCTCAGCACAAAGGCTGAATGTCTACACCGTGAAGGCAGTCATCAACATTTGCCATTGCAAGAATGAAAATCTTTGTATTAAAACAGCCATCAAAAGTGACCTAACAAGGGCAAAAATACAGAAAGAAAATTTCCTATGGGAAGAAAATCCATTTTTGGAGTTAATGAGAAAAAGACAAATATCTCAACAGAAAAAATTTAAAGGCTGTGAAGAAACCATTCAAAATTAACCAGTACTTGGCCAGGGATTTAGTGCAGTGGCTCCACGCTGGCCTCACAAGTACAAGGTCCTGAGTTTAATCCACTGTACTGCAACATTAGCCAGTTACAATATACTCGCAAACCTTCTCCATAGTCACAGCAATTTATAGCTTAAACTTTGTAGCAGTTTCACCTGCCACATTAACAAAAAACAAAAAACCAAAACTAGCTGAGTGTGATGGTCCATGGGAGGCTGAGGCAGAAGGATTCCAATCTTTTTTTTTTTTTTTTTTTGAATCACA